TTTTCCAAAAAAATAATGTTTCTTTAAAAAAAAAAAAAAAAAAAAAAAAAAAAAAGAGCCAATAAGTTCTCAGGTGGGTAAAACAAAAAAGTAATCAACGAGGTAGCCAAAGTTGTCCGCACTCTGGAAAAATGCAATCAGGCCAAAAAAGGTCTATCAAAAATGTCTTTTATTTTTCATATACAAAAGTGCTGAAGTGACAAAAGATCAAAGTGTCTTAAAAACAGACCAAAGAGCGCACGTTTCAGCCCATGCTTGCTTCAGTGCTCGTGAAATTGAACTTAGCCAACAAAACAGAAAAAAAATGAATAAAACGGAACATGGGTCAAAAAACTAAACTGATTTCATAGGACCCTAAAAAAAAAGTTAGTTTTTTTTTTTTTTTTCACCCAGTTTTCTTTTCTTCTCAGGTCTGATCATTCCCGCCAACTGCGTGTCGCCGCTGATCAACATCCTGTCATCATCGGATCAGTCTCAGCAGCTGGCCGTGCAGCAGCAGCAAATGTGGCAGCAACTCCATCCGCAGAGCATCAGCCACACCGTCAACACATAGCGTGACACAAACACCCCTCGCTTTAGGGCAGATGCGGCATCGTAAGCCAGCCAGCCACTCTTCCGGCACGCCGCGAGGAAGACGGTGCTTGTGTCGTATTTAATATTTCAGGGTTCATGTCCAAAGAGGACTCCTTGCCAAAGGAGCTACAGAATCAGAGCTCTGCGTGTCAGGAAACTGCACTGAGAGGGGCGAAACTGGACGATACTTGGTCAGGCCGTTTCCTTTTCGCAACCTCCAGTCTGCTAAATCATGGCCTGTGCTTTCCATCGACATGAGTGGTATTATGAAGTCACACACACTGCTATGTACACAGGACAGTGCTCAGGGGTTATTCACAATCTAGTTTCTTTTTCTCGTCTCTCCTGGCCTCATCTGTCCCCACCTTCAGCTTTCTGACCCAGCATGTCTTGGGCATGATGCTGCTTGTTTACCACTTAATACAGTCCCTGATTTGAAAGCAGGAACACGACGGGAGTAAGCGGTGCAAACCCAATCCAAAAGACTGGATCTGAGACGATGCATGGTTTGATGAACCCTTTGGATTTTGTTTAGTTTACGGAAGCGGGTCAGCAGGTTTTTCGCTGCTTTCCAGCGTTTCAGTTCGAGTGCGATTTGTAAACTGGAGTGTCCTCTACAGAAGGCCACATCAGTCAGTGCTTTTGCTCAGTTTTTCTATTTCTTGCTTTTAATGATTTGCTGTCACTCGTGTTATTGGGGACAAAAACCTCATTTCCGCGCTCGGTCTCTACTATATCTCGATGTATAGTTGCATTTCTGAAATGTCATGTTTTTGCTGAATTGTAGATGCCGCAGCACTCTAAAGACAATTTCATTCATCCTTGCACGAGTTGCACTACTGATGGATCTGTTGTACAAAGAATCTATGGAAAAATTGAACTGACTGCAAGATCTCTACCTCTTGCATATGACCAATAAATCTTGTGGATTACCTCGATTTCAAAATGTCTTTACTTTAGGGGAACCACTTCTTTTTTGCATTCATATTGTGTATTAAACTTTATTTTTCAGCGTGGTGAGGAATGAACGAGAAGGAAACTGTAGTAGGTAAACCTGAAATCTTTTACTTTCAGTATCTGGTGCATTTAGAAAGAAAATGTATAAATGTAGTTCTGAAAGTCAGATGAGTGCATGTAAAATAACACGTTTATTTCAGTATACATGTAAAAATCTTTAAAATAATAATCCACTTTAAATCAAATTTAAACCAGATTTGTTCTCAGTTAAATTCTTTTGGAATCTGATCATCCCGCTTGATTTAAGCATTTAGTTCTTAAATTAGGGGATCATTTAAAATGTAATCTATGATCATATTTCATTGCCAAAAAAATTTATTTTCATTTGCCCCCATTTTTTTTTTTTTTAACTAAGTGTATTTTTTTTTTTAATTAAAACTGAAGAAAATCTTACAAGTAAAGCCTATTCAAAAGGTTTAAATCTTCGTGTTAACGAGCATTATTTTTTATTATTATTAATGATTTTGTAACTTCTCCAGTTGTCACTGCGATGATAGACAACGCTGGTTGGTTTTTTTCATTAATTCAGTGTTAATTGTCAGTTCTTTGTGATGATGATGGACAGCAGTGTGGGTGTCATGAGGAGTGACGCGGCCATATTTGCCGGTGCTCCGCTGTAAACAAAAAGTGTCTGAGACGGACGCTCCGCTGATTTTAGGGACAATTTTATTTCTCTCATTTATTATCTCTTCAGGTATGTCTTACAAACCCAATCTCCATCAACACCTTCCGGGAACTTCTGGGAACCAAGGTATGCCGAAAAAGCGTGGAAAGCTCCTGGTCTTGAGTGTATTTGTTCGAATGTAAGAATTGGCGTGAGAAAGAATACCTGGGGAAAAGCCGTGTGTAGTTTTTGTCCAGTCTGATCGCTACAGGGTCAGATCCTTCACATCCGCCATTATTACTAGTGAAAAAAACGCATTCCCCGCCTTCGCTAGAGCTAAATATCGGCGTGAGGTACACGTTCGGGTTCTTCCCGAAGGGTCCGCGTCGCGCCGTGGCCGGATGGGTTTGCGTGGAGGCCGCTAGATTGTGATAAAAATGAATCCTTTTAGCGGCTAAGATCAAGCCCGTGCCGTTTCCTCCATGATTGTCTCTTGGGCTGTTGATTGATTGGATTCAGACGTGCCGTTTTTATTGCTCTTTGGGGACACCTAGTGGCGGAGGGTGGTATTGCATAGAACGAAGGCCGGGGCTAGTTGTCACAAGGGTAACTGAGAAGCTTTGAGACAAAAGATCAGTTGCACAAATGCACGTCTGTCTTGAAATAATGTATTTGTGTAAATCATAAGTTGTATCACTCAGTTAAGGATGTGTGTTGTTGCTTTAACAGGAAACATTCCCTCTCCGTCTTCAATGGCAACGATACAGTCATACAAGCCATTTCTAAATGACTTTGGGCCGCCTTCGTTGGGATTCCCACTGGTAGGTTTCATGTTATTATAGTTAACTAACACTTAAAAAAAAAAAAAAGCAACTTAAAAATTAAAAAATACCTTTAATGTATTTAATTTCAGCTTGTTGCCAAGGCAACATTTCTCATTTTTATTTAGTTTAACTTGATGTACTAAAATAACAAACTAAACCTGACATAAAAAATATGTAGATATATCAAAAAGAAAATTGCACCAAAAAATGAAGAGAAAAATAATTAAAGTGAAAACATTAAAACAAACAACAAAATTACTAAAACTCTATTAAAGTAAAAATGTGTTCAAAATATTAATAAAAACTATTTTAGTTTTAATTTGACAACAACTAAAACAAAAAACAATGTAGACATATTATAAAATACTAATAAAAAACAGAAAAAATTAAAAGCAAAAACTAATTCAAGTTCAAATTATTAATAAAACTGTATTAATTTAGTTGATGTACTGAAATAACAAAAAATAAAAATTACATTAAAAAAAACCTAATAAAAATGACAAAAACAATAAAATTACTAAAACTTTCTAATGAAAAGAAAACCGAAAATAAAGTATAAATGAACTTGATATACTAAAATAACTAAAACAAAAACTATAGACGTTGAACTAATAAATTACAATATATTAATAACTAATATACTGTCATATACTAAAAACTAATAAATATGACAAAACGCAACAAAATTACAAAAATATTAAAGGCACAATATTTAAGTTTTCACCGCTAGAGGGCACGTATTCAAAATAAACAAAGAGACCGGTGTAGTTTGATGAGGCCGTGACTGAGTGTGGAATCATGGGAGTTGCCGTATTCATCTCCACAGCCGATGCAATCCGACGGGACTCGGGTAGAAATCATGTTCATGGATGAGCTAATGATTGATTAGCGTAGTAGAATTGCATGCAACCGGATGAAAGGTCCCACAGTAGAATCTGCATGGCTTTTACAGGTTAGACTAGGTTTGTGCTTTTAGAAATAGGTCTCAGGATAAGGTGAAGTGTTTTTTCTTTGGACGCACTAATGGATAGGTGAGTTTTCTTTTAATCGGGGAGATACTGAAAAGTATTCTAGTGATGCCATTACTTTCGTCTTTAATTGTATTTATTACCTTGTGTAATACAATGTATTTTCATGTAAAGACAAAAAAAGGTCACTCTTTGGAATTTTGTATATCTGTCAATAAATATGACATTCATTGTGTATGAACCACTTTTGTTTATTGTTTTGCAATATTGCTAACCTTACATAAATTTACCACAGTAAGAATATTTTCCACTGAAATATCAGACTTACTACAGTTGTTAGTACAATAAAACCAAAATAAAATACATACTGTACAGCAAAAGAAAAAAGATTCTATATTTGAAGCAACCATATTTATTCATTATGAAACAATGGACACCATGTTTATTATTTAATGCAATACTGTGTAATAATAGATTTGCATGTTTTAAAATAATGCCATTATATCGTTTATAATTGCAAATGAACTAATTGACTTTTGTAAATTACTTATTGCCTTGTGAATTGTGTTTATCCTGAGTAAAATAATGACAATTAAAAATGAGTTATATTTTATAAAAAATTATAATTTTAAGATTTTAGATCCATAGTTAATTGTTATTATTATTATTATGTTTTATTTTTTCCAAAGTATTTCTTCGGCGCACACAAGCCGATAAGCGGCGGGCTTACACAAAAGAGAACCAATCAGAACCTCTGTTGTGCCCTTAAAATGCGCAGAATCCTGCGAAGGAGCCAATCACAGAGCCCAAGGAGACGTTGACTGTTTGTGCCGGCCAATCAAGTGACGCCTTTCGAACTCAATCGACCAATGGCGTTTCGCGGCGCAGTGTGTCGTCGGTTAGAACGTTAGAAGGTTGAGGGAGAAGCAGTCAGTCAGTGACAGATGAAGAGAGAGAGACAGTGCGTGCGTGCGGCGCGGCGCGTGAGGAAATGTCAAAATGGGAGAACAAGCGATGATAAAAAGTAATAAGTAAGTGAAGCGGTACTTGGGGGTTATTGTCATGGTAAATGTGTCAGCGCTTGTGTTTGGAGCGAGGGGATGCAGCTGCAGAGGTGATGCGTGCTGTGTGTGTGTGTGTGTGTGTGTGTGTGTGTGTGAGAACAGGAAGCGCCATAGCGAGTCTGTGTTTTGCTGCATGTTCATGTTGCTGCATCTATGAGCCTGCTTGACATCTATTAAATAACTAGGCGATAAAACGCACCACCGGCTGGGCTTGTAGGTCGCCAGATTAGCTTTGCGTTGTTTACTGATCTGACGATTAAATGTGAGTGCTTCTGGCTTTATCGGCTCTTATAACTTGCTGTTGATCTCCATCCAAGTTCATAGCAATGCATGACATTCGCTGTGTGAATATATCTGTTGTTGTCCGACTGCATGTAAACAATGAATTTACCAGATGTGCCCATGATGTCCTGACAGTCTGACAGCTGGGTCTTTGTTTATGCCTTAGCTGGACATTTAAAAAAAGGATAATATGCTTTAATCTTCTTTTCTTAGTTGAAGTTTTGATAATTATCCTTTATAACATCATTGTAATGTAGCTCAAACTCCTGGTTCTGTAGATTGCATCTCCTGCTTGTGTTATGTGATTGTGTATTAATGTGAAATAAATAATAAAAAGCCTTATAAGAAGTGTACTGAGTGAATGTGCACTTGTAGTGTACTTCAAATCTTAAAAGTATATTTCTAAAAGCTGTACTTGCAGATAATATATGAATGAAATAAAAGGCCACTTAAGTGCACTTAAAGAGAGGCACTCATGACTGTTTCTGAACACACTTAAGCACACTTTGTAATAATGTCATATTAAAGTTTTACCTTTTAAATCATAGTGTTTTAATAATCTTTTTGATTTATTTTGATGTGTTGACTATCATGCAAAGTAGTTGATTATGATTTGTACTGTAGCGTGTAATTCCAACTTCATTATTACAAATTTGTAATTACAAATAGATTGAAATATGTGACAAGTGTCAAAATGACATGAAAAATGACACATTTCAGGTTACCAATAAATACTTGTCAGTACGTTCAGCAGTACACTTTAACCATATTTCAAAGACCATATTAGCAATTATGAAATGACATATAAAGATGTACTTAAGTCCTACCTAAGTATGTTAAAAAGCTTTCTAAAGTAAACTAATTGCATTTAATATAAATGTAAACTATAACGCATTTTCATTTAATTGCAAATAACAAATTTCACTTAAGTATTTTTTTGAAAGCTCTCTTTTTAAGAAAGGCTAACATGCATGTTTTCTCAGCATCACGACTTTAGGTTCAAAATATTTTTGAATGTATAAGAACAAATGGGTTACCATTTCTATTATTTTTAATAATTACCCATGTTTTTTTTTTTTGTTTTTTTTGCAATTTAATATGAGCTCAAACATATGCATAGGTAAATAATTCTGAACGTAAATATGGAATTTATTTTCTTGGATAGTTGGCTTATTGGTTAAATATTTGAGTTGGTAATTGGAATGATGCAGGTTTGAGCCCTAGTTAGTAAGTGTTTACTTTTATGAACTATTTGTTGGTTTGATGTTGATCCCGATATACTCTATTTTTTAAAACAGCGCTCACACACGGTCTCTGTCCACGGCTGTTTAAGCATGTCCACAGATGACAGCATCTCTGAGGACGTGTCCAGCTCTGTGGCCTTGAGCCACGACCAGATCAGTGCCAATGACGGGAAGGAGAGCGAGGCATCCATCGTCTCCTCTGAGGACACCGTATCGGGTCTCCCCGAAGAGGAGCGCTCCGCGTCCCGCCCTGAGGGCTTCCTTCAGACCACCGAAGGGGAAAACAGACCCTCCACCACACCAGCATGCAACATTTCGAACAAAATAAGGTCTGTTTTATCATGTGATGTCTTTAGTGCATTGTTTCTGTCTTCACAAAGAGGCTGTCAATAAGCTGCTTTAAATCCAGAACAACAACTCTAAGGCTTGAAACATACGCTGTGCATTTGGCTTGATTTTAAAGGGATAGTTCACCCAAAAATGAAAATCCTCAAGTTGTTGCAAACCTGTATGAAGTTTTTTTTTTTTTTTCTTCTGCTGAACACATAAGAAGCTATTATGAAGAATGGTGCTAATCAAACAGTTGATGGTAGCCATCGACTTCCATAGTTATTTTTTCCCCCCATACTATAGAAGTCAATGGGGACCAGCAACCGTTCAGTTACACATTCTTCAAAATAACCTCTTTTGCATTCAACTAGAAAAAAAATCATACTGGAACAACTTGAGGGTGAGTAAATGATGAAAACATTTAAATTTTTTTGGAGAACTGTCCCTTTAAGGCTGCATGATTTGGGGAAATAAATACATATGTGCTTTTATTATTATTATTATTATAAATATATTTTAAAAACATTTTTGTATTATTATTTCGATATACTTTGTGATTGAAATGTAAAATGCCGTTTTTAAAAAAATAAAGAGCTCCAGGTTTGTTGTAAATGTTTGTAGCACAATTTGTGTGCTTTATTTTAAAATGTAATTATATATGACTATAAAATAATAATAATAATTATTTTTATCATGATTATTATAATCTACAAGGTAAAAATATAAAGCAAAATAATAAATATTACTTTTGTAATAATTGTTTAAATAAGCATTTTTTTTTTATTTTACTGTGAAACATTATGTAATAAATGGTGTATGTTACAGTGCAACTGTACAAATGTACAAAGGCTGTCTAAATTTCTAAATTAAAATATTAACAGCAAGCTTTTATTTTGGTTGAAAACTTCTGGGAGATTAAAAGCTTATCTTTTACTGACCGCAGATTTATAAAATATTTTTCAGTTTATATTAGTGGTCGACCGATATTGGTTTTTTTGACAGCCGATGCCGATATCTTGGAAAGCAGGGTGGCCGATATAATTGTATTCATTTTAATTTATATTTAAGAAATTTGAAATCATTTGACAATGGATTAAAAATAATTGTGTAAAATAAACATACTTATACTTTAGAATATATTTTCA